TATAAAAATGGAGCCGCGGCAAAACATCCAACTTCCTCAATTCCATATCCTGAGCTTTTTCTACAGTATGCGAAGGTAGGGAAGTTTGTGAATATTGTAGCTTTGAGCTCAGTTTGCTGTTATTTCAGGCTACACGCTCAGTGATCCCGTTCACAAAGATTGCTTTCCCTGAAATGTGTGATCCTGATGTCGATATACCAAGGCAACCGCTCTGTGATAATGGAACCAGCATGAGGTAAGGTAGAAAGTTCTGTGTATGCGTTCAGTCTGAAGAGCGCGTCCAAGCAAATCTGTTCACCTGGACTTTTCGTGTGATGCTGGTTTTCATGGAGAAGCTGGTTGGCAGGTATACATGATTTTCCAAAGGGCGACATACAAGAATTCCCCTGGCTGTGTCTGGCCCCCTACCGTACACGAAGGCGCTAATTGATAAAACAGTACGGTACTGGGCGAGAGTCCAAACTGAGTTTTGCGGCCAAAATGCATTGATGTACTTAGGAATGGCTGAATTATGGCCTCTCCATTGTTTCAATACAAGAAATTCCACATACCCATTCGCGGGCGTTGTTTCAGCGTATGAAAAACCGTCCTCAAAAATAAAGATTTGAACCTTTGGACAATTGATCTCTTTGTGGAAGAGGCCAAACGTATAATCAAAAAAAGCTTTATAGAGAAGTCGTCATCCACGAGATAGCTCGAGCTCGAGCAAGCACAGAATTTCGACCTCTTGTGGTTTACGATTTGGATAGCTTTGCCATCGAAGAAAAAACCAGTCGTCCATCATCTTTTGCATTGGCTAATAACGATTCAGCACGGTAATCTATTATTTTACAACATTTCATGCATATGGAATGGGCTGATGCAGAATTTTAAATTTCCTGTATCTATTTTCTAGGGCAGGTCATGTTGATAAGAAAATTGATCATCTTGTTTTTGAAAGCCGTTTTGAATGTGGAAATTTGCGGAGAGCGACTCAGGTATGTCAGTCATCGAATTAGGACCAAATTTTTGGTTGTTGGAAACAAGAAGAAAATCCCTTCTAGGTGGGACCTACTCATTATGAACTGATTCTGTCACCAGACATTAATCAAAAGAAGGAGCATTATCAATGGTTTTATTTTGAGGTTGGTACATCTCTCTTAAAAATTTCTTTTCGTGCATTTTGAGTGAATCTTTTAGGTCTCAAATATTGTAAATAACCTTCCATATACTTTCGAGATTATTAATTGTCTGAAAACCACATCGATGTATAGCAAAGGTGATCTTTTTATAATAAAGTTAATAATCTGTTGATTTTTGATTTTTAAAGGAATGCAACCCGTTATGTATTCTGTATGTGATGCGTTAGCTGGACACCGTGGGTGGGTCCGCGCTGGTGAAACGGTATGCTATTATCGTAATCTGTACAGTTCTGGTGAGGATAGTGACGCCGATGAAAGCAAGTCCAGGAAACGGTAGGTCATGAATTTTTCTGTCTTCTG